GTGACACCAAGAAGAGGAAATAAAACCTTAGTACATCTGTGGCTTTCTTGGGAATGGAGACTGTTGGTCCATCTTGCTTCTCCGTGCCAGGCATCTGAAATAGTTTAAGATGCTGCCAAGATGCCATCAGACTTTTGTTTTATAGAGATTTTTGTTGCTTACACACATTGCTTCCAATGGTCACACAGTCCTGCATTTCTTGTTAATTGTAACTGGAGCTCTTCTTCAAGACTTGTAATTGCCTTGAAGTAACTCAGAACCTTTGTCCTTACAAACCCTCTCTCTTGCCCCCTTTCCTTTAGACACTGACTTGATCTGAATTGATTGCTCCTGGGTTGTAACCCCCAAGATCTCAACTGAGACTTTTTGTTCTTTACAGGTTCTGTGTTTGAAATTCATTGACGGCACATAAAACTTGGCTTAGAAAAAAACTTCAGAAGCCAAACGAAAGCTCAAAACCACCTTAGTGATTCAACATAAGCAGACAAGTTTTCTCTTCCAACTTTGCCACTCACTTCCTATGACTCTGAGCAAGTTAAAGAAATAAAAATCAAATAATCTCTCTGCACCTCAGTTTTCTCATGCATAAAATGAGCATAATAATCATTATTTTGGGGAGTCAGAAAAGTCATGGCACACTTTTGCATAGGAAAACGTAGAAAAAATATGTCACAACTTTTCTGATGACCCAATGTGTTCCGGGCCTGCTGGTGGCATGAAGGTAAGGGAGCTGGATCCCAGATGGCTGAACGCATGGTTCAAACTCTGGGCCCAACAGTTTGAGAAACACAATGGGCATACGTGCATGTGTGCCCAAAATTCCAAAAGGAGGGAGAATGGAGAAGGGATTGTAGCATGGCCATGACCCATGGAGGGTGATTTCTTACTTTCCCTCTCCCTCTCTCTGTCTCTCTCCAGAGAGTACACATGCCATCTGGCAAATTAAAAACAGTAATAATAATGATAAGCCCTTCTCAGAACTAAATATGTACCACGTGCAGGGTCCTGAGCACAGTACTCTTCTGCAGGAGTAATTTTTCGTCGTTCTCCTGTGGGTGTTGGGAAAAGCAAGCAGGAGATAGCTTCTCAGATGGGGCTTCCTGTGCTGAGCAGCTGCTGGCTCAGCTGCGCTCTCACTCCCTCTCCGGCTCCTTATGGCCTGGGCAGCTAGAAGCAAGCAGTGCCTGGCAGGCATGGCCCACGGCTCCCCTCTGGCTTTGCCTGGGAAGCTCTTTGGTGTGTAGCTCTAGCTCAGCAGATTCAGTATCCTCTTCCTCATGACTGACCGTGGTCCTGTCCTGGCAAAGGTCCCCTGAGAGCTCCAATCCTCTCAACTTCCTGTAAAAGGCAGGACAGCCAGAGAAAAGATGGAGACCAACCCGGAAGCTGAAGCTCATGCCCCACTCACCTTCCACCAAGAGACCTCCACAGTGCTTCTGTGCCCAGTACTGTCAGCAGCCGCCTTCACTCCAGGCACTTGCTCATCCAGAGGGGCCACTCCCTCTCACCTCTCCTCTCCCAACTCTCACTTTCCCCAATCCTAAATTCTGCCCCAGGGACCGACATGGGACCTTACACTCAGAAGGTAAGATCTAACCAGACTACATGAACCAAGTCCTCCTGTGACAAGGCCCACACACAGGCCCAAAAAGAGCCAGTATCTTCCCAGCCTGCTCCCTGAACGGTCACCAGCCCACATCCTTGCCATTGGTTTGGCAGAAGCCAGATGTCTTCCCTGGGGCAATGTGAGCAGCAGCTGTTTCCAGAAAAAGTCACCTTCTTTCCACACCACTCTGTCTTCCTGCCCCAGGGTGGCCCTTCATCTGCAGCTGAGGGGTTGTAGGTTTAGAATCCAGTGGGTCGTTTCCTGGGTAAAGCCCTCAATGGGCTCCATTTAATCATGCCAGCTCCCCTCCACCCCCAACAGTGGAGCCGGATGGGCCAGGAAGATCTGTGCCCACCCAAAGGAGAAGTGAAACACCTGGACCATAAGCCTCACCTCCTGACCACTTGAACTCCTCTACCCACACTGAGAGCAAACCAGAGGGTGGGAAAGGACTATTCTCCTCTAGCCTTCCTGTCTATACTGGAGAGTAATTTTACAGTAATTTCCTAATAGGATGCTTTCTGTTTTATGATGCAAATGTACTGTCTTAATTGATATTTATTGTTATTTGAACTGTGGCTGGCTCAGAGTTTACTTTAAATATAGATTTTTTTTCTTTCAGTAATTTTGCCAGAGGATGTGTGTGTTCTCTTGAGAGAAACAGAGAGAGAGAAGGAACACGGCCTCTTTTAAAAAGCAAGACCTTGAGCAAATTGGTTCCTGTCTAGGAGCCCCATTCTTTCCACAGGCAGCAGGCTTTCCCCCACTCCCAGGGTTGAGGGCACGCCTTAGGACCGTGGATATGAAGGGATATTGCATTTGAGGGAGGGGAGTACCTTGTGGATATGAGAAGCTGTTCTATATTTCTGTAATATATTGCTATGGAAAGATGATTGCAAGAGTAGGCCTGCTGACTTTTTACAGAAAAGTTCATTTTGTTTAATTGAGTCCTATGCAGGGGAATTTGGACACAACTGATGATAATTACTTGCAGGCCTGGCCATTTTTTAAGTACCCACATGCAGGACCAGCAGATGGTGTAGTGGTCACATTGCTGGACTTCCACATGGCCGACCATAGTTAGAGTCTGGGATCCCGTGGCTTGAAACTCACACCGGACGCATATGCATGCATGCTCAAGATCCAGAGAGGAGAATGGAGGAGAAGGGATCACACTATGGCCATCCCCCACCCACCTTGCTGTTGATTTCTCGCTTTCTGACTCCCTGTCTCTGTCTGTCTCTCCTGCAAATGCATGCGCCCTATAACAAAAATCTCTTTTAGAACAATGCCTATATGCTCTACTGTTATTCAATACTTTAAGAGACTGAATAGTAGTTGATTTTCTGATGAAAATTATGAATGGAAGTTGGTCACCATGACTTCAACTAAGAATTAGAGCAGAAATCTACCTGTGTTACTATTAAAAATTTTCATTTTTCTTAACATGGCTGAAAAAGTCCTACTTTTTTTAAAGCTATCACATGTGTTTATTGTGTTTGCATTAAAACACAAACACCTCAAAAAAAAAAAAAAAGTACTAAAATCTGTCACAGTGGTGCTTTCTGTGGGCTTTAAGCTATCACATGTGTTTATTGTGTTTGCATTAAAACACAAACACCTCAAAAAAAAAAAAGTAATAAAATCTGTCACAGTGGTGCTTTCTGTGGGCCCTACTCCCAATCAGTAGGGGGTGATCTGAGATACAGTGGTGGGTAGGCATGCTGGAGGAATGCTGAGGTACAGAGAGACACTGGCTCTGTGGCTGGTCTGGGGTCATCTGACTATTGGGGCAGGATGGAGGCAGTGGGGCAGGGTGAGGCCAACTGCCTCATCAGACCAAAATATTCAGTCCCTAATCAGCTTCCCTGGTTCACGATTTGTCAATCTCAAATTCAGTCCAATACCTACTGCCATTCTTTTCCTTGAAAATCCCCCACTTCTGCCCAAATGCTCCCATACCCCAGCCTCAATCTATTGTGAACCCCTTCTAACTGGTTTCCTGAGCTGTCCCCCACCTGGAGTGAGTAATGCACACTTTAAGTGTACCCCATCCCCAGAGGAAACCCAAAGGGCCAAGTCCTAGTTAGCATCAGATTTGACAGGGACAATGGGGCTTGGGAAAAAGCACCTTTGGGGACAATTAGTATGGCCATAGCCGAGTTTCTTCTAGAGGGGATGCAAGGCAGAAACGCAGGGAACAGGTTTAAGGGACTATCCCCATACAGTCAGAGTTTGTGTTCCAAAATGTAAACAGTGGAGAGGTTTAGAATTGAAGGTTAGGGCAGATTATAGAGAAATTAGAATATCAGGGTATGAGGTTAGGCTCAGTTCTGAAGGCAAGAGGAAGGCATGAAGGGAGGGACGGGAAGAGATGGCAGGAAGAGGAGCCTGTGGGAGCAGGTAGCATGGTGTTGGGAAGACTGAGGACAGCCTACTGCAATGGCCCCAGCTAGAGGAACAGGGCTGAGGCAGGGCAGTGAGGGGATTGGAGAGAAGGAGGCAGAGGCAGACAAGAAGACTGGGCCATATAGGTGACATGTTGAAATCTGGAAACAGAAGGAGAAACCTTAACTACCACGCTGGCCCATGCCAATCCTGGGTGCCAGTGCTGAGACCCAGAATTCACGTCCTTCCCTGCTATTGTCCCTTGAATCACACATCACACATTACCTGGCACGTATCCCTTTAAAAGAGAGCCTCCTCTTCCTATATGTCCATGGAGGGTATGATCTCCTGCTCTGCCTAAGTCCTCGTTCCTCTAGATGAGCTGGGTTGGCCTCTCTGCCAGACCCAGGATCCACACAGGTCCGAACACCCATCAGGACCTTCCCCAAGGAGAGAAGGGCCTTGCTGACAACTTTGCAGGGCCTGTTCCCCAAATCCACGGAGCAGAAAGGTCCTGAGCCACACTGCGTGGCACAGTACACATGGCAACTTGGGACACCAGAGAGCTCATGCCTGAGAGACAGGCGCCCTGGGCTTACACACCAGAGTGAAGCCTGCCTAGCCCCCAGTCACCTCCTCTGTGAAATGAGGATGCAACACCTTACACTAAATCTGGCCTCTCCAGATTTCTCCAGCAAGGCGGTTGTGACTTTTGGAGGTCAGGAAGGGGGCGGGCCTTGGACCCAAATGTGGACACAGCACTGGGCCCAGTTTGCTGCTCCTATGTGCCTTCCCAGCTGCTGAGCCTGGAGGTGGAGAATCTGCGGTACAACCCGAGTCAGAGCTTAGCCCCAGGACAAGGAAGACACCAGTCCCTGTGAGGCAGTGAATGGTTTATTGGCTCCCCTGGCACCAGGCCCAACATGCCCTCCTCCCCCGCCCTCAGCCCCTACACCTCCCTCTATGCCTCTCAAGGCTGGACCCTGAAATCTCTGTGGGGTCCAGCAGGCACACAGAAGCAGGAGTTGCAGGTTCCAGAGTTTAAATATATAAAGTGCAGCAACATAGCTTATCGAGGCTGAGAAGATCCTCTGTGGCCTGGAAAGCGGGGCAGAGGAATGGTGTGGGATTGCAGACTGGGGAGACAGGTGATGCCACGCAGCCTCCAGTGCCCGAGATGCAAAGGAACCCTTTCACATTGCCTTTGGCGGGCAGGGTTTTAGCACATCCAAGTAACCCCAAGCCTGTGTCGCATTCTCCAAGGCACAGATCTCCCTCCCTTTCTTCATCTTGAGCCTGTGAACAGAGAGCAGAGAGAAGGCTGAGTCACCGCCTCACCCACTGGGTACCGCTAAGAAGTCCAGCCCACTTCCTTGCCTCTGGGTGCCCCCGGGCGTTTGTTTCTGGGCCTCCTTGTTTTCAACCTCTATGAATGAAGTTGCTGCATAAGCTCTGTGGCTTGCTCGCTGGGAGGACCCTCCAAAGCTCAGGAGTTTATTCACTGAGCAGCCTGGACCCCTCCCCTGAGGATTACTACAATGATGATGAGCAGGACGATTCAGTGCCTCAGAGTGGGGCTGTAGACCCTGCAGGCATTCTGCTGATTAGGAAGGATGAAATATGCCGTTCCTAGAATAGTTCTCTGCTCCAACTTTTATTGTTTCTGTGTCCATATGGGACCTCACTCGCTACTTTGGACTTAGTGTGAACACATGTATCTATGTAGTTTTTCTTTTCTGATCTGTCCATTCCCTGAGTGTGGCTATCTGAGTGCCGTCCACGTCTCGTGGCCACATCCCAACAAACAGGAGGCACGGCAGGGCCGGATCCATCCAGTCTCTCTATCTGGGTGACTTTAGACAGATATCTCTACCTCTGTGAGTATCCGTTTCCACACCAAAAATGCATTTCCCAAGAGGGTCCATATATATTATCAGAGATACTATATAGAACAGGACCTTAAAGTACGGAGTGGTATGTATAGGCTGTGCAGTGAAGGCAGTAATGCCCCTGAATCTGGGTTCTGTGTTTACGCTACTTCACAGATAGGAAATACAGAAGAAGGCACAGATAATAAGGTGCAGAGAACTTACTTGCCTGCGGTCACCCCAAACTATAGGTTTGCAAACCCAGAAGCAGGAACTAATCAGGACTCTCTCTCCACCACATAATAATGCCTAGTGTGTTGGTGAAGCAAGTTCTTCCTCTGGGCATTCAATGCTAGGACATAATACTGGCATCTTGGCTTCCCAAGAAACACAAGTCACCAGTCCTACCACAGGAATGGCCTTCCTAGCACCTGCCAGGAAGCTCGGCGCTCCCCCTAGCGCCCAAATGTGACTCTGCACCTGTATTTGGGGGCCTGGCTGGCTGGGTATGGAAACCTTATTCCAGTGGAACACCGCCATCTAATTGTGACTCTGCACCTTATTTGGGGGGCCTGGCTGGCTGGGTATGGAAACCTTATTCCAGTGGAACACCGCCATCTAGCGTCTGCCAGTTTTATTCCAAGCCAGCGGGATTCTGTTCTCTAGTGGAGGGATTGAGCAGAAGGTCACTCACTTTACAGAGCGGTAGGAGCAGGTGGAGCTGCTATTCCGGTAGCACTGGATTTTCTCTGGGGAAATCTTTCTCTTCACAAATGAGAAGCAGCAGTTGGAGGAGGGCACATGCACTAGAAAAGAATCACAAAAGTACGTCTTCACCTACTTCTCAACCTCTCACTTGTAGGGCCATTTGAAACACACACACACACACACACACACGGGCCCTCACAGAGCAGATCGAAGCTTTGGGCCCCAGTACAACTCTGTTTCATCAGCCACCTAGGCCCAGGGTTAGGGGAAGAATCATACTATTGGGGTGCTAACCCAGTCCCTTTCCCCAAAAAACCAGCTGGTAGCCTTGATAAAGATGAACCTTCATTCTGACCCCAGAGTCCCACCCACAAAGTCAAACTTCTTAGACCCTGAGTTCTACAGGTTCCTCCAGCTCTGGCATTTCACCACAAGTGTTCAGTGCCACATGACCTGGGTCCCACACCATGACACACACAGGACACTGGAGTCCACTGTCCACACACCTGGATCAGTTAGGAATGGTTCAAGTTCACAACGGTGACTGTCAAGAGAAGCACCCGCAGGCACTGACCGGCTCTCCCATTCCCCATTCAGTCTCTCTAATCCCCTCCTCTGTTCCTCAGCTCCCTCGGGGTCCCACCTCCCACTTTGCTGGTTTCTATACTCCCTACCCACACCCCACCCCAAGAGATTTGCCCTCCAATCCTGGCTCCTTCATCCTAGTTTTAGTGCTCACAAAACTCAGTTCACATCTGTTATTAGATCAGAATTGTCCCAACCGCCTTGGAGAAAGCTCATTAGTTCTTGATGGAGAAAGCAGTGTGAGAGGTAAAGTGATTTGCCCAAGGTTATCTGACTGCCTGCCTACAGACTCGGCTTCTTTTATGTCACACTGTGGAGGCAGGGCCCAGCCCCTCCTCTGCACCTAAATAACTGCCTCGGTCCCCTCTGTAGTCTTCAGGTTCTGTCAGAGGTTGGTAGCGTGGCTCTCTGCGTTTACTCCTGGCTCTCCTCCTGGCTGTCTGCCCCCAGCCTTCTAAGCCCTCCATTATTCCTCTTCATGTAGGAGAAGGGGGGACAGAGCCTGAGTTCAGGAGAGCACCTGCCTGCTTTTCTGCCCTCCCTGAGGAGAACCGGAGTATAGCTCTAGCCATACTCACTGCTTTTGCTGTCCACGTCTTGTGGCCACGTCCCGACCAGCAGGAGACACATCAGAGCCATGGTGTGGAGCTTCATCTTGGAGAATCTGGCTCAGGCCTTTCAGCAGTAGCTGTGATGAGTCTGGGGAAGCTGAGAGCTCTGCCATCCTGCAGTGCCCAGAGCTTTTATTAGACTATGGGGGGGGATTCCCCAGGCCATGGGGAAGAGGTGGGAGTTACTGGGAGAAAGGACAGTTACACCCAGTGACTACATGGAAAGCACTTTTCCCCATCTGTCCTGGTGTATGTGAGTGGTGCTGGGCGGCGGAAACTTCCCCAAGTGCAGGAGCAGATAAGGATCTTACACAAGTACGTGGGAGCTGTCTTGGCTGAGTAGGAGGTAGAGAGGTGAGGGAGAGGAAGTGGCCGGTGTGTAACTTGTCCAATCCCAGGTCGTTCCACCCAGGCATGTAATTGATGCCTCTGGACCTGGACTGAGACACACCAGCATCAGGGTCTCAATTCTGCAAAGTAGTGATTGTGGTACCCAAGTTCCATCCACACAGAATGGAAATGGTAATACGTGAGCCTAAGGTGTCGTATGAAAGGAATTATTTGGACTCTCTATGTTAAGTGACTGGCCTAGATACTTGCTGTTTCAACTCGCTCATCCTTACTGTCTTAGGTCCTCAGTCAGCCCCAGGGAAGTCGGTGACGTGTAAGACAAGCATCTGACCTTGGACCACATCCCTTTAATGTACAGATAAACAAGTCAAAGCTACTTTGTGGAAGGACAGAGATAGCTGTCCACAAGGGTACAGAGGATGACTAGGCCAGTCTCAGACCACCCTCCCAGGGTCTCCTGAGGCCTTATGTGGAGAGATGCCTGCTAAGTAGATGAAGGGGCTGGCGAAGGATCCCAGGCATAAGAAGCACGTCTCGTTCAGAGTCATCAGCTACTGCTGGAGTGTGCAGAGACAAGGTAGCTGAAGAGAGTGCCAATGCACACAGTGCTTAGGATAAGTTGCACATAGGAGGTACTCAAGAAAAAGTGGCCAAATTATTGTGTTGGGTCATTGGAAAAGTCATGACGTATTTTTCTGTTTTCCTATGCGTCGTGATTTTTCCGGCAACCCAATATGTATAGAAGTCACATGCATTATACTCATTGAAGGCGGCGAGGGTGAGCTAGCAATACGTTGATTGCATATTCTCTAGCTTAAAACTTCAGGGACTCCCTGTTGGCTTTTGGATAAAGAGCAAGCTGCTCATCTGGATAGGCACAAATCTTCATGTTCTATCCGTGAATCACTGCACCTTCAGGCATTTACAATTTCCTGTCCCCAGGATTTTGCTGCTGCTGTAACCTCTACCTGTAAGACCCTCTTCACTATCTCCCTCTGTGAACATCCCACCCATTTCAAATGCTGTTGTCTCCATAGAGACCCTGTGGAATACCCAGCAGGTAGGCGCTCAGCTGTCTTCAAGCCGCCCATGCCTGGGTTGCCCTCTTAGGTCGTATATACCTGTCACCCCCCCATTCATTCTACCCCCAAAGTAACGCCTGGTGGGAATCTGGCATGTCAGAGGCGAAAGGGCCCTTCAAGAGCCATCTGCAACTTAAATTTTCTCTGGGGAAGTTTTTGCAAGAATGCACCTTAGCCTCTTTTCAGAACCAAATCACATGTGCCTATGCATGTCAGAGGGAAAAGAAACAAAATCAAAAACCCTCCGGTAATTTTGTTCAGGCGTCAGGAGACAAGAATCATGTACCCAGTATGATGGCTTCATATTATCATAGGAAAATTAAACCGTAGAAAGAGAAGAGCTTGCCCAAGATCATGTTGAGAATTACCCACGGAGATGGGCCAATGGACTTGAACCTTGGCTATCTAACCTCCGAGGGTAGTGGCCACAGGTTCAGTACGGTCCACAGCTAACTGCTACTACGCTGCTTGGCCACCCACTGTTCATCCTTCCTATTGCTTCTGACCATCCAAAAAGTAGATGAAATAGTTGAAATCACTAGCCTGCTGTTGTCTCTCTCCTATTCTCTCTATCCTTGGAAATGGGTGTTTTTTTTATTCTGTGGTTTCAGGAGAGAAAGAGAGAGAAGGTGCAAGCACGTGGCTCCTTAGCCAAATGTAGCCGTGTGTCCTCGTAGACTTGGGAAATGGAGAAGGGGCATGTGGCCACCAGGAAATTTTATGCTCTTTCCCACCACCTGGGGCTGCTGCCCAGCCCACTCAGAAGGGAACGGGACTGCCCCTCCAGCAACCCACTTCCCGCCTCCTCAGTGTGGCCCCAGCAGCCCAGCACAGGAAGAGAGGGACCAGCAAGATTTAGTCATGTCTTCCCTTCCCAGGATCCTCTGCACCTGGAGGGATCTAGCTGAGGTCTTATCACACAGGAACTTAATGTTCCACATGGGGATCTCCCTGACCCCAGCATGGCTGTTAAGGTCACAAACTTATGCCATAGAGCCTGAACAAAGTCTAGAACCAAGTAACAATTCAGTAAATTGTTCATGGAATTGAACACCCTGGGATGGAATGGCACAGGACAGATCGATGTGCAAGAGATGCTCTCAGAATAAACACAGAACCAGCAATTCACGTGAACAAACCATTTTTGTTGTTGTTGTTGTTGTTAGAAATTTAAAAACCAGGGGACCAGCAGTTAGCGTAAAGGCAATGTCGCTGGACTCTCATGTAGTCAACCGCAGTTCAAGTCCCAGACCCGGCAGCTTAAACTCATGCTGGGCACATGTGCGTGCATGCCCAAGAACCCAAGAGGAGAATGGAGGAGAAGGGATTGTGGCGTGGCCATCTCCCCTCGGGGGGTGATTTCTCGCTTTCTGTCTCTCTGTCTCTCCTGTCTTTCTGGTGACCGCACACGCCCTATAGCAAAAAACTCTCCAAAAAGAAAAAGAAAAAAGAAAGAAATTTAAAAACCAGGAAAGGCTTGTAGGGAGGTTTTCTTTTTAGACATCTTTTATGAAGTGGGTACCAGTTTAGTGAAGATAGGTTGAGACCAGAGGGAGTTCAGCCAGTGTGGATTCATCTTCAAATCATCTCCTTCAGGAGTTCCCAGTAGTGTCCAAAGATGACCCAGTCCTCCTTGCCTCTACCCCTGCCTCCCTGTCTTGCGCCCAGCACCATCTAGCAGCAGAAACTCTGGACTAACTTTGCTTATTCTGGGTCAAGTTTTCTCAGTCCCCTCACTTAGGAGAAAGTGGGATCTGGATCTCTCTGTTTCTCTCTTTGTGGTGAGTGCACATGCCCTATAGCAAAATAACTCTCAAAAAAAAAAAAAGTTGGATCATTCAATATCATGTTGGCACAACTGAAATACACCAGGTTCTGGGGCTACCACAAGGATAGACAGACACAGGCTCTGCCCAAGTGGGCTCACAGGTCACGCAAGAGGCAAGGACAAGATGAGCATCCTGATCCAAAAATCTAAAAATCAAAGTGCTCCAAAATTCAAAACTCTTTGAATGCAAGACATCACGAGTAGAACATTCTGCACCTGACCTCATGTGATGGGTCTCTGTCTAAACGATGCATTACACATATATTGTATAACAGTATCTCAGCCTATAAAGATAAGATTAGGTACAAAACATGAATGAATTTGTGTTTTTAGACACTGGGTTCCACCCCCAAGATCTTTCATTATGTATATACAAATATTTCAAACTTTTTTTAAAAATGTAAAAAAATACTTCTGGTCCCAAGCATTTTAGAGAAAAGATTCTGCACCTACATTGGGATTGTGTTACATAGCAGTATGTGCATCGGAGGAAACAAACAGGGTGCTGTGGGCTGCAGCATGTGAAGGTACTCACCATGGGCCTGACATGTGGTAGACCATCAGGAAAACTGTGTTCCTCTTTATCCCTCCATCCTGGACTTTCTGAGCACCAATATATGAACCCAGGCCACCTCCCCCACTGGAGATATCCTTTCTTTCCTCTTTCCAAAAACTTTCCCTTATGATCTGGTGCTGCCCACCATGCAGGCCAAGTTTTGTGTCATTGTCAACATGAGCACAGTGTCCTTTTAGTCTTCAGGTCAGCACAGGCCCAACTCCCTCCTGCACACACAGCCAAGTACACAGTCAAGACCCCCTAACACCCAAACACTGGGAATTCAAAGCTCTTTCTCATGTTTTCCAGCACCTCTTCCATCTGCCTACACTCCCTTTGGCTTTAATTTTATCTGACATATAGCACTTTTGATCTCTTGGGTGGCCTGTCCTAGCTGCTTCTCAGCAATAGTATAAAGGAAGCATAGAGCATCTCTCATTGCAACGGGCACACTGAGAGGTGCCCAAAGGATGTCCCAGATGAGACAGTCACCCAGATGTCCGATGTGCTGCTGAGCCTGAGAATCAAGTGGCCCATGTGCCTGGATGAGATCCGGAGTGCTGGCGCCACAGCCTCATTCGTTGTCCCGCACATACTCCAGAACTTTCCTGATCCTTCTGCCTGGAACATTCTGGCTTTGCGTGGCTAACTTCTGGCAGACTGTCCCACACTGAGCTCCTAGGGGAACCCTATTTTCTCCTCACAGCAGTCACTGGGCATGATGGCAATTTCCTGTGTCCACCACTCCTCCCTTGTCCAGAATCTCCCAGGGTGTAACAGTCCCTCCACTGTGGTCAACATCTTATGCCACAGTGCTCACAGAGGGCAAGTATGAAGTGACAATTGCTGGAGGAGACAGGAGGAGAGGTTTTCACCTTGAAATGGCTGTCCCCACCTCCTAGATGAGAAACTGGTGGTTCATGGACAGACCGGAGTCACACGGGATGAGGAAGAGGGGTGAGGTACCCTGGCCCCGATCCCGCGTTTATGGATATTGCACTGTAGTACAGAGACTGTACAATTTCCGTGTGTGCTAGTGGGCACTATTCCACACTTGGGATCCCAGGACCACTCTCAGGGCAGCGATGAGTTCATTCACTCGCGTGTTTATTCTCTCAGCAGACATCTTCCAAGGACCTGCTCTGCGCCAGCCCCTCCATGGTTAGTTGGATTCTAGAGGTGAGCCTTCCACAAGCCTATCCTCAAGAGTGAGGGCCTAGAGAGGAAAACAGACACACAAGCCAACAAGCGCGCATGATGGGCAAGGCC